TGAAGCCTTTAATTTCTGTTAGGATCGCAAATTGTTCTCACTTAGCCATCCGTATAAGGGGAGTTAACTCGTTTTGGTTAATATGATAGAATTAGTCTTTCTCGTGATTTTATTTTCTCTTGTGTTTTTTTTTATCAAGGATGATTTTTTTTTTACTTTTAACTGAATATAAGGATTTTTTTTATTTAGTTATCTAAAATTGCAAGAATGCTTTATTTTCTAAACGCGATTAGTACATTGTGACTGTGTTTATAGTTGATATAATTGAGCGTTGATTTTTCTTTTTTTATTAATAATGATTCGGAACAATTTCTACATAATTTATATCCAGAAAAGAACAAATTATGAGGAAACAAGAAAATTAATAAAAAAAAAACAAACTTGTCAGTCGCTTTTAATGTAATTGTGCGCAAAAGGAATTCCTTCCAAAATACACACCGATATACATATAATTAATTCATCGCGTCTGATGGAAACCTCAACAGAATGCAGAAAGCACTGGATGGTCGTTTCGTTCTACATTTTGGACTCATCAACAGTACGCACCCATTACCGAGAATTGAAACCCTGACAGTCAGACAGACAAGAAACAGCATACCAACTGTTCCAATGGGCGCACTGCTGACAAGCCCCAAATATAGGATGAAACGGCCGTCCAGTGCTTTCTGCATTCTGTTGAGGTTTCTATCAGACTCGATGAATTAATTAAATATAATTATCAAGTCCTCCTAATAATTTCTTTCTTTCTTTCTATCTATCTATCTATATATATATATATATATATATATATATATATATATATATATATATATATATATTTTCTGTTTATACGTTTTATGCATATATATATATATAATATATATATATATATATATATATATATATATATATATATATATATATATATATATATATATATATATATATATATATATATATATATTTTAAGCTATGCTATAGTTATGTTGAAGTGGTCAATATCAGGGATAGAGTACATGTAAATATAAATAAATACGATTCCGGTTAATTTTTAATGTAAATTACTATTTATTTTGACTATAAATTTATGTTTATTTATTTATTTTTAACTAAGAACAAGTAATCTCTCACTAATTTAAAAAGTAAAAAAATTAATATTCACCCCTGAATTTTATTTTTTACTTTTTTTTTAATTTTCTTTTTTTCTTCAATACATATATAAATACCGATTATTTTAATTGCCAAATATAATTCTTAAAATTAAAAAAAAAACAAACAATATAATCCTAGCATAATATATAAATAAGCCAACATTGTCATAAAATTCAAATTACATAATAGTCTGTCCAAATTCAGCACCCGGTTGAGAAAAGAGTAATTTTAAAAACAAGTGGCTCATACCACTATTAACTTATTGCTCTTCAACCGATTTGAATGGAGCTCTCTGAGGCCCTCACGTACTTCGCATAGAAACCGTTAAAATTTTCGTTCCTGTCTGCCCTGCGGCGATAGCTTCGCTGTAGTATCTCTGCCCGATACCAAATCGGACGGGTTCGATCCCATCCCGGCTTGAAGTAATCGGACGTCTAACCACCCTTAAGAGCAGTCTGTCTGTGGATGCCTGTATACAGACGGAAACACACACACTCATATATATATATATATATATATATATATATATATATGGAATTGACGAGTTGTGTTTATAATCATGCATTATTTCTTTTAAATGTTATATTTCCTGGATACATGTTTTTGGGTAGACATTTCGTTTTTTTAATAATGTAAACCAACATCAACCGGCCAATGTCATCAAAATTTTAATAGAGAAAAGAGATTTTCCATTAGGATTTAAAACTGCGTTCTTATATAGAAGAAACATTCGTAAAGCCCTGAAAAATTTAATTCAACAAGTACGTTTGTGTTTTTTTTCCTAACATAAAAAAATAATATATATATATATATATATATATATATATATATATATATATATATATATATATATGAACACGCTTACATACCTCCAAATACAAATATATAATTATAATTTAAATATAAATATAATCTAATGTCTAGTTTCAAATATATTACAAACTAGCTTCAAAGCCGCCCTATAAGGCGTCAATTAAGCTAGCTCCTGCAGAGGGATCTTCATTGGGCCTTCGATTTGTTCAGGAAATTGTGAGTCCCTAAATCTTTGTATATTCTCAGCTTTGGATGCTGCCTTGGCTGTCGTATGATCAGGGTT